ATATGAATCAACAGATCTAGCTCCAAGAAAACTAATTATTATACAACTATCTGTAGAACCAGGTGAAGAATCAAGCATAGTGCTGATTCATCAAATATACTCTATTGGATATATGGCCAATAAATCTAGTAAAGTGTAGGGCCAAGTGAAAAAACATTGTTTAGTATTATAAGCCAACAGAAATAGAAGTAGGCTAATTCTTGCAAAACAATCAAGTATAGCTTTTGCTGAGAAATGGATATATGGCGAATTTAAAACTGAATGGTACAGAAACCTTTAAAGTGCGAAGAAAAAGAGGCTACACTGCCTCACACTAGGAGGCTAATGCTAGTGACAAATGTAATAATTGTAATGATTTTTTGTATCTTACCAAATATGTGGAGTTCAAGTAATGAAAGAGTCTTAAAATGGATATAAAGTCTTTTAATGAGACTCCTATAATTTGGGGATACCTGTACTATACATTCCAAATATTCTAGCTCAGGAATCTTAGCAATTGGAATGTGATTGATTGACATTTAAATCAATTATTTTAATTTGATCCTTTCAATGTTTGTTTATTGGAATTTCAATAACTTTATTTTCTCCTGGTGTTCTATGCATCTAGCATCATGTTTAATTATTTCTGTACAGCTTTTTTACTAGCCTGGAGTTTTGGGGCACGTGACATTAGGGGCTTTCAATTCAGAGTAAATGAACGGTGCGCAATTCAGGATAGCATCAGGGCTACATGGAGATCGGAGATGGGGCACTTGGGCCAAGTTCACAAATACATTTACTTTCTCAAGTCTTATTCAAATCCTTTCCTTTCACCTTTGTGTAGTGTTTTGTGAATTAGATTCAGATACAAGTCATGGTTCATTAAGTGTTTTTAGATATTTGTATTGCCCTGTATGATGGTATACCATGACTGTTATTCACTGCAAAATTTAAAAATACTTTTTTATTAATCAAATAGGCCTATCAATTTTTGTTTTAAGGATAAATCAAATTGCTGGAACTACACCAGTACACCAATGTTCACAATCAATGGAATGAACATATCACAATATTTTATGAAAGCAATCATCTGATTTCTTTTTTTCATGGAACTGTAATTCTGATAAATTCTGTTCAGACCTTTCTTGAAAAATCGATTGTTTTCTTATAAAGTTTGCACCTTGTTCAATTTAGATATTTTGAGTAAAGCTTACACATTTTATAGTAAGAAAAATATTTGGTGGATTTCAAAAAATATGCTTTTTAAAAAAGAATAATATCCGAAAGTACACAGTATTATTTTCACCAGAGCTACATGTATGGCAATACAAAATATTCAACACAATTAATGTATTTACTGAGCCTCCTATCCAATCAGAACAATACATGTATAAGAGAAGATTAAACTGTATTCAGTAATAATTTCATCACTTTACAGGGTGGGCCAATAAAATTGGAACATTTTTCTATTTACTCAATTTTCTTTAATATTGCAGTTCAATCCACCAAAAATCAGTTAATGGTCATGGAAAGTTTCCAATTTTCTCTGCTTTAGACATCACTGCTGGAAATAGTCTCAACACAATGTCCATCAATTAAAGATACATGTATGTAGTTATCCTTAGGAGAAGCTAGACATGTCCTCCTTTGGGTTATTTAGCTTAACTGACCTCAGTTTTTTCAAAACCGGCACAAAATGTACCAAAACCTATCATTTAAGCCATGTATGTCAAATACTGCTCAGACTGATTGTTCAGGTGGGTGGAAGACATTTTAAGGAAACCCTTGCATTGAATGATTAAATGTTAAGCTTGACATATATTCATTTCCACTAGGTGTTGACAATAAATTGTTTTCAATTTCCTAAAGTACATGTATTGAAGATCATACATGACTAACAATAAATTTACAATGAATGGAAAAGATGTTCCAATTTTCTGTGGCCTACCCTGTAGATTGGGGATTGAGATTTTCTAATCTTGCCAATATTTGGTTAATATCTTAGTGAATATCTTTTAGCTATACTGTATTAAAATACTAAATGTTTTGAAATTGGTACATTGAATTGTAATTTGTAATGAAATGTGAAACTTGAACAAATAAAATATGCATTTAACCCAATCATTTAATTTATTTCAGTTTGTGTTTTTATGTTTGTGAACTTTAAAAATCTTATGGTGTAGTCACTTATAAGTACAGTAGTATAGACTATGAGGAGGAATCAATCTACTATTCTAGTAATTAGTCTATCAATTTATCTCTCTGAGCAGATTTCTTGTGTCACTTTCACTTGTCTCCCTCTGAAAGGCCATTCCCTGTATGCATTTTAAACCTCTAATACTGGTAACTCCTCCTCCTAATGCCTTGTGATTTGATGTGCAAATGTGACCAAGGAAGTATCAAGCCATGCTGTGGTTATTGAGAGAAACCTTTCTAGTACAAGGTTTTAATGCTGTATGTACACTTCAGGGTAAACATTTCTAGTTACCCGCCCCCCCCCCTGGGGATATGATTTCTGAAGCCAGTACTAATATGTAACCTACCAACACTTAAGTATCTTTTTATTTGCCCTTAGTAAAACTTCACCTTATGACTAAGAGTATGTCTTGTATGATTTTATCTCTTAAACGAGAAACATTTCTAATTTTGTTTCTTCAAGGACAATTGAACCTCTATAGTTACTGTACGTATTAATTTGTTCTCCCTACATGCCCTAGGAGAAGTCCTTTTGCATCACAGCTTATTTTTATTTTATGTTGGGGGAGGGGTGCTTGATAATGGCTGTGAGCGAAGCGAACCGCGTCGAGTTAGCCAGCGAACGAGCGCAAAAATAGTGGGGTCTCTGGTCCCAGAAAATTTCGAATATTAAACATTAATCATTTGGTGCATTCTGAGCAATTTAAGTTGAACAGAATTAGAACAGAATCGTGTTTTAACACGACGTTAATGTATTTTAGTAATTATGACGCCGTGATAATGAACCTAATGAATGCTTTTAGTTGTTGGAACAAGTTAGACTTATCTTTTATTTTAGATTCCACAAATTAATAATTATCTCTCAATTCGATTGTCTGGCAAAAGTACACCACCTCCTGCTAATGTCGATCTACAGTCTCTATTATCATTTAAAATAAGATAGCTTTCGAAATATCTACATTAATAAACGATAAAAGCCCTCTAAAAGTTGAGAATTGCATGATATAATAAAACTAGCGCTATTTTTCGTAAAAATACGTTAAATTCGTTAATTTTCTAACTTAATTGCCTCATGGAACGAAAACGCGGTAAAATCCGAAAATGAGCTCTCCGTCCACTATTACCCCTCACGAGATCCAAATACCCCATTCTGAAAAATGGACGGACAAAAAGTACAAAATACCCCATCCACGCGCCTGATACCCCATGTCCACGCGCCTAATACCCCATTATGGGGTAAAAGGCGCGTGGCACGCGCCAGATACCCCATGTTATTTCCTTCCGTCCGTCCGGGCAATAACTCAAATACCGTTGGCCCGATTTTGTTCATATTTTGTACACATATACCCTATGGGGGTAGAAGTTCTGCTCGAAAGCCGATTTTCAAAATGGCCGCTCATTCCAAAATGGCGGCCATTTTAGTGCCGAATTTACAGTAATTTAGGTGCAATATGTAAAATTGTAATAGCAATATGTTTTAGATGTAAAAAAATTATATAGGACATTAATAAAGCTAGAAATGTAGATATTAAAGATGCTCATGGCAGCCATCTTGAAAAATGGCCGCCATTGTAACATATTTTACTATAACTCGAAAAGTAGTGAAGCGATTTTGTTCATATTTGGTATGTGAATACTATAAGCATGGTACACTGTCTAATGACACTTTTCGTAGAAGGCGGCCATTTTGAAAAATGGCCGCCATTTTAACGTATTTTACTATAACTCGAAAAGTAGTGGAGCGATTTTGTTCATATTTGGTATGTGAATACTAGAAGCATGACACACTGTCCTATGACACTTTTGGTAGAAGGCGGTCATTTTGAAATTTTTTTTGTAAAATGGCCACCATTTTAACATATTTTACTATAATTCAAAAAATAGTGAAGCGATTTTTTTCATATAAGGTATGTGAATACTATAAGCATGGCACACTGTCTAATGACACTTTTGGTACATTTTAACGTATTTTACTATGACTCGAAAAGTAGTGGAGCAATTTTACTAATGGCACATTTGGTAGAAGGTGGCCATTTTGAAAAATGGCTGCCATTTTTGCTATATACTTTATTTGTAAAAATGCCATCCATGGCTGTTCGATGGGATTCGCTACGCTTTGGCGTTGCCGTTGTTCTGGTTAAAATTCATAAAAGGGTATCTTAACAAAACGCTAATGTACAGACGCTAAATGATCAAGAGGTTGTAAGCTAACACCTCATGGTCACATATAAGTCAACACACCAACACTTTCATAAAATAAAATAGCATTCAACAAGATTTAAAAATCACATTTACCTTATCTTTAGCAACATCTATTTTAGGGATACTTGAACATGTTCGTTGATCATAACTTGTTACTCACCTGAATGGAGTTTGAAATATAATCATTGGATTGTTTAATTTTACATCTCATGAATTTCAATTACACTGACACCGTACAGTGGAGCTGATCCGTACATTTTTGATTTCTTAAACATTATACCCAATATAGAATTATTTCACAAATCTTCACTCATCCTAAATCGTGTAGTTTTCGTAAACTACAGAAACATATTCTCATAAAAATAATCGACACTCTTAGGCGAAATCTGAAAAACCAACATGTTCCGACTGATTAATTTGTGGGTACTTCGAAAAAGCGAAAAGTTTTCTAAGCGAATACACACGAATCAAATCAGTTAATAGTGAAAGTGTACGACAGTATATTTTGTCACTGTACGCTGTCGATGGTTAGGCGTTGGCCATTACATCAAAAATCTGTTAACGATTGGCAAAATGTAAAATATAATTGAAGCTATAATCGAATGTAATTTCATGAACTACAGGGCGCTGGCCATGGTTCGGTGCTATATCAAGTCGTTCTGAAGGACATGTGTGTGGGGCTGCTCTTATTGATGAATGGTGGGCGATAACTGCTGCGCATTGCGTAACAAGGTAAGAACCAAACCTGGTTTATTTTTAATGTTGATATCCTACGTATACAGAAAAATTTTAGAAAAAATGAACACATCTTGTGTTATTCTGTCTTAAGAAAAGAGGAATATAACATAAAATGCATGAATACGATCACTTTTTCCCTTTATTTTATATGTTACAATTGCAGTATTCATATGTTTCATAATCAGAGAATATTGAAAGTGGTTAATGATATGAGGGCGCAAGCATTTCAAATTTATAATGACAAAGGACGATTCTCGGTTTGGAGAACAGTCTCCTGGGCTAATAATTTTTTTCATGAAAAATATCGAAATATTACCCAAATTAAACTATGAATATTCAAAAGAGGACATTTAAATCTACAAGATGTAAAAATAACAAATTGGTCTGAAGCAGGGATAACGCTCAATTAGACCGATTCAATAAAATACAAGTCTCGATTTGGGGAAAGAAGTTCATCAGTGTACAGCGCTAATATTTTTTTGCGAACAATCTAGAAATATTACCCAAATTAAATTATGACTATTCAAAAGAGGACATTCAAATCTATATTGTGTAAACAAATCAAATTTGTCCAAAGCAGGGATAATGCTCATTTCGATTGATGAACTTCCTTCTCCAAACCGAGAATCGTCCTTTGGCATAGTATCCATTATCTTAAGCTGCATTTAGGGTTGCTCTATGTATCTGGAGATCCAGAAACAACTTAGCGGTCATAAATGCTTCAAATAACGTTTTACTATGCTCAATTTGCTTTATATTAATCAAAGTACAAAGAATATTTATTTATTCCATAGTTAGCATGATATTCATTGGATAACATGTGAAAATAAAAACGGTATTTTTGTAATCAGTGGTAAAATATGATATTTTTGACAAATTTTCACTTAACCATAGCATACGGTTTTTTAGCCATGACATACGACGTCGTATGCGATGGTTAATGGATTTTTGCTACTTCAGACTCAAAACGAGGCTAAGTGTCAACATCGCCGGATCGTTTGGAACATACGAATTAAATGACTTAATTTCCGACAATTCTGATGATGACTTTAACTATGGAATAAAAAGAACATCCTATGATTTACTCGTGATATGATTTTAATCCACTCATGGATATTGATATCTGCACTCTCTCGCTACGCTCGCTCGTGCAGATATCATATCCATTCGTGGATAAAAATCATATCACTCATAAATCATAGGATATCCTCTATGTATTTCATACCTACTGAGGTTCTGGGTACTATACATAACGAGCGGGAATATATACTGTATCTAGCCAAGGCCCGGGGCGGGATGGATACACGCTGTATCCATCCCGGTCCCGCTCCTGAAATTTTCTTTTTCACATTTTTTTCAATTTTTTTTTGAATTTTTTTCAAATTTTTTTTTCCAAAAAAATGTTCCCATTTTTTCAAATTTTTTTTTCACCATCCTTTTTCAAAAAGAATTTTTCACATTTTTTTCAAATTTTTTTTCAAATTTTATTTTTCAAAATATGAGTTATATGAGTTTGAAAATCTCAGAAACTTAAAAAAACACTTTATCCTATGCAAAGTAGAGTTTTAGGGAGATAAGCTGGTAAGATATATCCCGTATTGAGGTTTCCATATCCTGAACCTCCATATCTCCCGCCATATCTCCCGCTCCAGCGCATATCTTCCCGCTTCGAAAAAAAAATTAAAATTTTTTTTAAAAAATTGAAAAAAAGAAAAAATGTGAAAAAAAATTAAAAAAATAATATTTGAAAAAAATTGAAAAAATTGAAAAAAATTAGAAAAATGTGAAAAAAATTGAAAAAATCGAAAGAAAATTAGAAATCTCTACTTGGTATAGGATAAAGCAGTTATGTACGGTCGGTTTGGATATTGGGTTCATCCCTCGTGAGGTATGCACATCTACCTTCGGTCCCTACGGTCCCTCAGGTAGATATGCATATCTCCCTCTGGATAAACCCCATATCCAAAACCTCCCAGTACATAACCCTTATTTATAACACCAAGAAAATGCGTATCGTCAGTATATTTTTGAATTTTGGAACTTTATAAGGTATATGACGTACCTAGAACATCAGTAGGTATGAAATACATCTGTTATGTACGGTCGGTTTTGGTTACAGGGTGCATCCAAAACCTCCCAGTACATAACCCTTATGTATGTCCTCTTGATTCAAATCTGGTCAGAGCGCAAAATTTGAGGATCTTACGCGCAATCATTGATAAAATGTTTCTTGTTAATAGGATCCATTATAAAGTTATTAATGATATGAGGGCACAATTATTTCAAATTTAACTTAAGTACAAAAAATGATTATTTAATCTGTAGATCTGTAAATCACTGTCATCTGTCGTTTGCACATTTCATTAAAATTCTTTGTATTGGTGTCATCCTGAATACGATCACAGCAGAAACTCACAGAGCATGCCTCACATTTATGGCATTTTACTATGTTTCTGCAAGTTTTTGTAAAATGTATTAGTTACTGTCCATCGCGACCAGCGTTTGAAGCGCATACGAAAGTATGCGTAATTGCGTATTCGACAAATTCCTATATTGATTATGTACTTTTCGGTCAGGTTTACGTTGTGAAAACAGCGCGAGCTTAAACTCTATTAATTTAGCATTACCTTTCTTTGCATGCTGTGGTAAAGTGAGTTTATTTAAAATTCCTGGTGATATGTTTGTACGTACATGTACAAAACTATAACTAGTTGTTGTGCAAATATGAACTCTTAATTATTTTATATTTTGTAGTCAATCAACGAGTAACACCAAACTGATATTCGGTACGAATCGAAAGGTGACCTATCCATGGCGGAAGACATCTGAAAATGAACAATTCGTAGATGTTCGTCGATTTATTATTGATCCAGGATATAGTCGTTATTATACTCTTAATGATTTGGCGTTGATACAATTTAGAACTCCGGTCAAAATAACGGAGTTCGTAAACCCAATATGTCTGCCCGAACAAAATGAAGATTTCCAATCAAACAGGAGTCTCGAGTGTCATACAGCAGGGTTTGGACGTGTGATACCAGAAGGTAAGACTTAAAACTGTCTGAGTGGACACAAAATATAAGGCATTACATTCCTAAATTCACAAACAACCAAACTGTAGGGTTACCATACAATGTATCCATGACTTTTGCTTTCATTTATTTATAAATATGATACAATATATACATGTTTTAGGATTAAAATCTGGTTCGGATGGTGGCCAAATATGAAATTATGTTAATCCTTCCTCAATGTTCTGATTGGTTGGGCATCATTTATTTTCTTATTTATCCAACAATGGAGTAAAACGCTGAAATCGTCAATAGATGGTGCATGACGTCATTCCTCTATTATCGCCCAAGTTCACTTGTGCGGTGAACTGGAAATGAACTCATTAGATAGATCTATTTCCCACGCTTTTCCATAGATTTATTCATTTTCTCGTCAAATTAGCAAAATACTTATCTGAGTCCTAAATTAAGTACATCGAGGAAACAAGGTAATGCGTTGGCTTAATCAAGCCCCATAATGATCTTCCTTGCCAAAAATAAGGTCTCGGAATAACTGTCTCTGTATTAGCAGGTTTTCGCCGTTTTACTGAATGCTGGATCGGTTTTTCTTTTTACTTATTTGTCTAACGACACTTCTACATGCAGTTTCCCATTTTCCGGTTCTTTTCGGTAACAAAATGTCCCCCAATATTTCTCGGCAGTTATCAACCCCTCTTGTAGAATCATTGCATTTGCAGTCTTTCCTGAGCAGGTATAGGCCTACATGTTTATTTGCTAAATATGATGGGTTTCTTTAGATAATTATCCAAAAAAAATATCGAAATATCTCTGATTTTTTCTTTGACTTTTTTCTTTCATCCACGTTCTTTCATCTTGACTTACCATTCTAGTTGTATCGTGTCCCCTGCTTTATTTTCCCCTCGATACCCTTTAAATGTGGTATTTTTCTATCAAAAATCAGGCACACATGTGTGTCGCCCTCGTATTTGGTGCCAACGGGTATTAATCTCACAGGTCGGGACACGGGCCTCAATATCTCGTGTTATGGCCAAAATAGGCCACTTAGATCCCTGGGGATCAGGTTTGTTTCTTTTATTCAAGTGGATCACTCACGTCTTGATCTATTTTGCGTTCAACTTAATGACTTTCAAAATCAGATTGTAATTCTTATGTTTTGCTTTGTTTTATTTAATTGTTCACTAAATTTTTACTAGATGTAGCTAGAGGTAGATTTACTTCATTAGACTTATATCTCGATGTACCTTAATGGTGTTCAAAAGACAAATAGAAATTATTAATTATTAATTAATTATAACCAGTCGTCGACCGTACATGGGCCAATTTACGATAATTGGTATTTCAAAATATACAAAATTCAAAAATTGAAATATTCGTATGGCGATGATTTTTTCTTGATTGATCAATCAATTCATGAATTGCAAAGGAAACACATTATATAGTATAAATTCGTAAGCGGCATCATTGGAACTACATTGGCATTTCGTAACCTGAGCAATTTTCAAAGAAATGACAAATTAACATATTTTCGTTAATCGTTCAATAAGTCTGGTTTAATTTCAAAAAATATATTATTTGTCACATTTGTGAGTGTCAAACAATCAATAAACATGTTCCTTCGATACAAGTATTGAATTGTAAAAATAAAAATGTAAATAGATTCAGCGCTATCGTTTAAAATTATTAGCTGTAAATTATTTTGAACGACCCCTTTGTCAAAAGTGATAACTTAAGAAATGGGCAAATACGTTCATATAATTTTACATGTACTCTTCTTTCCCAATGCCCTCACTATAGGACAAAGTTTGTGGCTTCATTCAATATGTTTTTCCCAGAAAAACGTGTCTAATAATCATGAATTATCCAACACATCTGTTTTGGAGGATACATTTATATTAGACTTCATTGACCATTCTACTATGACATGACCTACTTTATAGCATCATACATTATAAATAATGTTGAAAAGCAAAATATTTATTTATTTGCACTTTTTTATATACCGATTTAAGACATTTTAATTAAATATATTCCTTTCGCCTTGTCTAATCTAGACAACTTGAATTCACGACAGAAATACCTACACTCAATCATCTCCAATGTCTGCAATTTAAGATGCAATTTAAGATAAAATGTATATGCGACCAACTCTTGAAAGCGGGATATTTTATATGTCTTGGTCACATAATTAAGTATGTTTTCAAGAGTTGGTCGCATATACATTTTATTAACATGCTAAAAGATATCAACGCAATCGATACATTATAGGTTAATAAATCCGAGTTTATATTTTCCGAAAAAAATAAAACATTTGTTAGTTTTCTAAAAATCCATCGCTAAAGCAATATCTTAAAAAAAGATAAGCAATATCCCAAACAAATACTTTGTGGAAATGACTAGTTGAAGCATTGTCAACCGAAACAAAAATAACACATTGCATGTCCATGAAATCAACGTATTGTAACAGTTAGGCCTTTTTGTGGATATTATGGTAGTGTGGACTAATAGACCTCTGTATACCTTGTGGGTTACGTGACACACGTTAAATGTGTTTGCACCAAAGATTCAACAGAACATTCAATTATATTTATTACACAACAAACGATATATTGTGGCGTCTGTAGGCCCAAAATTGTGTACAACAAATAGCAAAATGTCCTTGCAATAAACTTGAATAGAACCAATGTTCGTTGTTGTTGTTGTTATTATTATTCACTGTAAGTCTATACATATAAACATCAATTGTGGGATTGGATTGAAGTCACACAAAGTTCACTGTACTCAGGCTGAAGCCAAGCGATGACTGCAACACTGGAATCTGTCTAGTTGGTACTGGAGCAGATTGATCATTAGATTCTTCGTCTGTAGTGGTAATGCAAACACGAGTGCAAATTACAAACATCAAACAAAGGAGTACAAACGATATGCTGCCCACAATCAAAGCGATGAAAAGAACATCCAGTTCCATACAAGGACCAGTATCTTGTCTCGTGCAGGTAGCCTCCTCCGGCTAAGTCTAGTGAATCGTCTTCTCCCTCAGGTAGCCTCCTCCGGCTAAGTCCAATAGATCCTCTTCTCCCTCAGGTAGCCTCCTCCGGCTAAGTCAAATGGATCACCTTCCTCAGGAAGTCCGTTCGACAAAGTCGCTAAAATAAAGACCCAGCCTCAGTGAGTCCGTTCGACAAAGTCAACTGGAACGTCTTCTCCCTCAGGTAGCCTCTTCCGGCTTAGTCCAATAGATCCTCTTCTCCCTCAGGTAGCCCCCTCCGGCTAAGTCCAATGGATCACCTTCCTCAGGAAGTCCGTTCGACAGTCGCTGAAATAAAGACCCAGCCTCAGTGAGTCCGTTCGACAAAGTCAACTGGAACGTCTTCTCCCTCAGGTAGCCTCCTCTAGCTAAGTCCAATGGATCCTCTTCTTCCTCAGGTAGCCTCTTCAGCTAAGTCCAATGTATCGCCTTCCTCAGGAAGTCCGTTCGACAAAGTCGCTAAAATAAAGACCCAGCCTCAGTGAGTCCGTTCGACAAAGTCAACTGGAACGTGTTCTCCCTCAGGTAGCCTCTTCCGGTGAAGTCCAATGGATCCTCTTCTCCCTCAGGTAGCCTCCTCCGGCTAAGTCCAATGGAATGCCTTCTCCCTCAGGTAGCCTCCTCCGGCTAAGTCCAATGGATCCTCTTCTCCCTCAGGTAGCCTCCTCCGGCTAAGTCCAATGGATCACCTTCCTCAGGAAGTCCGTTCGACAAAGTCGCTAAAATAAAGACCCAGCCTCAGTGAGTCCGTTCGACAAAGTCAACTGGAACGTCTCCCTCAGGTAGCCTCCTCCGGCTAAGTCCAATGGATCCTCTTCTCCCTCAGGTAGCCTCTTCCGGCTAAGTCCAATGGAACGTCTTCTCCCCCAGGTAGCCTCTTCCGGCTAAGTCCAATGGAGCGTCTTCTCCCTCAGGTAGCCTCTTCCGGCTTAGTCCAGTGGATCCTCTTCTCGCTCAGGTAACCTCCTCCGGCTAAGTCCAATAGATCCTCTTCTCCCTCAGGAAGCCTCCTCAGGCTAAGTCCAATGGATCACCTTCCTCAGGAAGTCCGTTCGACAAAGTCGCTAAAATAAAGACCCAGCCTCAGTGAGTCCGTTCGACAAAGTCAACTGGAACGTGTTCTCCCTCAGGTAGCCTCTTCCGGTGAAGTCCAATGGATCCTCTTCTCCCTCAGGTAGCCTCCTCCGGCTAAGTCCAATGGAATGCCTTCTCCCTCAGGTAGCCTCCTCCGGCTAAGTCCAATGGATCCTCTTCTCCCTCAGGTAGCCTCCTCCGGCTAAGTCCAATGGATCACCTTCCTCAGAAAGTCTGTTCGACAAAGTCGCTAAAATAAAGACCCAGCCTCAGTGAGTCCGTTCGACAAAGTCAACTGGAACGTCTCCCTCAGGTAGCCTCCTCCGGCTAAGTCCAATGGATCCTCTTCTCCCTCAGGTAGCCTCTTCCGGCTAAGTCCAATGGAACGTCTTCTCCCCCAGGTAGCCTCTTCCGGCTAAGTCCAATGGAGCGTCTTCTCCCTCAGGTAGCCTCTTCCGGCTAAGTCAAATGGATCACCTTCCTCAGTGAGTCCGTTCGACAAAGTCAACTGGAACGTCTCCCTCAGGTAGCCTCCTCCGGCTAAGTCCAGTGGATCCTCTTCTCTCTCAGGTAGCCTCCTCTGGCTAAATCCAATGGATCCTCTTCTCTCTCAGGTAGCCTCCTCTGGCTAAGTCCAGTGGATCCCCTTCTCCCTCAGGTAGCCTCCTCCGGCTAAGTCCAATGGATGCTCTTCTCCCTCAGGTAGCCTCTTCCGGCTAAGTCCAATGTATCGCCTTCCTCAGGAAGTCCGTTCGACAGTTGCTAAAATAAAGACCCAGCCTCAGTGAGTCCGTTCGACAAAGTCAACTGGAACGTCTCCCTCAGGTAGCCTCTTCCGGCTAAGTCCAGTGGATCCTCTTCTCCCTCAGGTAGCCTCTTCCGGCTAAGTCCAGTGGATCCTCTTCTCCCTCAGGTAGCCTCCTCCGGCTAAGTCCAGTAGATCCTCTTCTCCCTCAGGTAGCCTCCTCCGGCTAAGTCCAATGGATCACCTTCCTCAGGAAGTCCGTTCGACATTCGCTGAAATAAAGACCCAGCCTCAGTGAGTCCATTCGACAAAGTCAACTGGAACGTCTCCCTCAGGTAGCCTCTTCCGGCTAAGTCCAATGGATCCTCTTCTCCCTCGAGTAGCCTCTTCCGGTGAAGTCCAATGGAACGTCTTCAGTGAGGAAGTTTCACAATAAATTATCTAAGTCAAACTTCAAATAGAACAAAGTCGAAGAATATTTCAAAGTGTGAGTAAAAAATATTCTAAGTCCAAGTTAGTATAAACGACTAAAATGTATAAGTCCAACTCCAGGTAGATGTACCACAGAACAAAGTCAAAGAATATTTCGAAGTGCCAGTAAGAAATGTTCTAAGTCCAAGTTAGCATCCACAGCAAAATATACAAGTCCAACTTCAGGTAGATGTATCACAGAACAAAGTCAAAGAATATTGAAAATGATTAAAACATTCTAAGTCCAAGTTATCATCTACAGAAAAATATACAAGTCCAACTTCAGGTAGATGTATCACAGAACAAAGTCAAAGAATATTGAAAATGATTAAAACATTCTAAGTCCAAGTTACCATCCACAGCTAAAGTGTGTAAGCCCACTTCAGGTAGATGTATCACAGAACAAGGTCAAAGAATATTTCAAAGTGAAAATATTCCAAGTCTAAGTTAGCATCCACAGCAAAATGTACAACTCCAACTTCAGGTAGATGTATCACGGAACAAAGTCAAAGAATATTTAAAATGATTAAAACATTCTAAGTCCAAGTTACCATCCACAGCTAAAGTGTGTAAGCCCACTTCAGGTAGATGTATCACAGAACAAGGTCAAAGAATATTTCAAAGTGAAAACATTCCAAGTCTAAGTTAGCATCCACAGCAAAATGTACAACTCCAACTTCAGGTAGATGTATCACGGAACAAAGTCAAAGAATATTTAAAATGATTAAAACATTCTAAGTCCAAGTTACCATCCACAGCTAAAGTGTGTAAGCCCACTTCAGGTAGATGTATCACAGAACAAGGTCAAAGAATATTTCAAAGTGAAAACATTCCAAGTCTAAGTTAGCATCCACAGCAAAATGTACAACTCCAACTTCAGGTAGATGTATCACGGAACAAAGTCAAAGAATATTTAAAATGATTAAAACATTCTAAGTCCAAGTTACCATCCACAGCTAAAGTGTGTAAGCCCACTTCAGGTAGATGTATCACAGAACAAGGTCAAAGAATATTTCAAAGTGAAAATATTCCAAGTCTAAGTTAGCATCCACAGCAAAATGTACAACTCCAACTTCAGGTAGATGTATCACAGAACAAAGTCAAAGAATATTAAAAATGATTAAAATATTCTAAGTCCAAGTTATCATCTACAGCGAAAAGTCCAACAAAATTGATTTTGTCCGAGTTTAACCTCAAGTAGATTCGTCTACAGCCAGGTACATGTGAACAGAAACAAAGTCAAAGAATATTCCCAAGTGCCAGTCAGAAACATTCTAAGTCGAAGTTATCATGTACAGAAAATGTCAAAGTCCAACAAAATCAAAATTGTCAGAAATCACAAAATATTTCGAGCGGAGCTCTGTCCCAGTCAAAAGCTTGCTGTAATCTGCCGAGTTTACATCGGCGAAATACTTTTATAGGCTTGGTGACGTCATCACTTTACGAACAAGATTTCAAAGTTAAATAACAAGTTATTGACGCCATATCCCGCTTTAATATTGCTCACACAACAAGATAATAATTGGAACTTAATAAATCTAACAGTAATTGATCGCTACTTACTCTAGTTTTACTTCGGTTCGATAGAATAAGAAGCAGGAAGTAAATTCCAAAAAGTGACCTCCATTTAAAGTACCCGATCGACTACCCGATCAACATTAATTAAATCCCAATTCGATGACATGAAAACGCTATTTCACCCCTGTAACTATAACTACAGTACTGCAAACATTGCTACAATTTAAGATCTTAATGATCTCACATGTGAACCACAAATCAAGTGTAATAAATGTACAATAACGAGTACACAGCACTAAATTGAAAATAAAAAATTCAAAATTTTGTTACAGTATACATGTATGTCGCAGTATCTAGTACAACAGATTTTTTAAATATCAATTATCGCAAATTGGCCCACAAATTAGTCCTAAATAGTTATACACAGTAAAAGATATCACGGCATCAGAAATGCTATAAAAATAAAATAAATGACTACGCACTTTTTATCTAAAAAAATGAAGTGTCCACCGAGTAATTAATCCGGCATGTCCAATCAGAACCTGGTAAGAAGTCAGTACTCATAACACATTTGATGATAATCCATTTGTAGATTCAAGTAGCTTACCTGACCATCTTGTGGAAACCAAAACTGTTATTTGGACGAGAGAAGCGTGTAGGAGAAGATATAGTGACAGATCACATACTCGTGATATACTCTGTACTGGATTTGCGTCAGGATTTGGAAATACCTGTTTTGTGAGTACATGCTTGTTTCGTTTATATCGGTCATTCTACATTCGTTTCTGTTTTCAGACTGAGTCATAACAGGTAGCCATTTAATGTCCTAAGAAAGGGACATTCGGTAGAATCTTTCCAAATCCGGTAGTTTTTTCCGGCGGTTTATTAAAAAATGTTGTTTTTGCGGATTCTTTAAAAATGTATTTTTGTGAAAAAGCAGTAGTTATTGCGGTAAGTTTAAGAAAAAACTTTTAGTAGGATTTCAAAGAAACGGTACTTATTTTGGTAGATTTTTGAAAAATCGGTAGTTATGGCAGGATTTTTAAAAAAAATGTACTTGTGCTTGATAGTGCTATGGTGATTTGGTGTTAGATTGTCCTCAATTGTGTTTTGTTGAATCAACTTGCTTTGTGCCCGATTTGGTTGTGTCCGATTTGGTTGTGTTGGTTTGCCAGTCTATTGTGTTTTGGTGGTTGATCATCTTTTTGTGGTCTTTTTGGTCTTAGGTTGTGCTCAACTGTGTTGTGCCCGATTTGGATTTGCTGGTTTCACAGTCAATTGTATTTTGGTGGTGGTTATATCGTTGTACCTGGTTGTGTTTTTGTTAGTTCAGTATGGAATTGTTCCCAATTGTTTTATGCTAATTTGACAATGATTTGTGTCGTGCTGTGATTGTGTTATGCTGATTTGGTGTCTGGTTGTACCTAACCGAGTAGGTGTCGGGTTGTGCCCGATTGTATTGTCAGATTGGTGTAAGTTATCACGGTTTATAGGTTGTAACGGATTGTGTTTTAATGGTTTGGTTATATCAGTTGTGTATCAGGTTGTGTCCGATCGTGTAATGATGGGTTGACATCAGGTAGTGCCTAGTTGTGTTGTGTTGTGTTGGTTCAACAATGGCTTGCGTTGAGTTTGGTTTTTTTGACAAAAATAATAAGTAATAAGCCTACTGATTGCTTATGCATTTCACACCCAGTGATCAGACAAAGATAACAAGGGGGCGCATTCCCCACTCAGAGTTTTTACATAATACATTTTCACGGGGCGCGAAACTGAGAGCTGTGAAAGAAAGAAGTACGTCTCCCAATAATTAAGGTCACAGACTTGTCAAATTACTTTGAAAATACGGTAGATTTCAGCAAAAACGATAGATTTTATGGTGGAAAATACGGAAGATTTTACGGCCATCTTCACAGGAAAACAACAAATTGTTAAAAGAAAAAAGAGAAAGTGACGACAATTATTAAAGTTTACCAGTGATCTAAACTGTAAAGTTAATTTGAAGTAAACTTGGAAATGAACGTGAACAATGCCTAGCAGACTTTCTAGTACATTTTTCTGTTACATATACAAGATATATAGGCGACTAAAAGAAGGTGCAAATATATTATTTTGCAATGAATAGAAATTTTTAGAAAACGGATTCTTCGATTTATTTTTTGTGAACCCCGATTTTTCCCGATTTATATTTAGCAATACCGATGTTCTCCCGATTATTGTCGAATTGTCACATATTGATTTTTTCCCCGATTTTTCTCCCTGATTCATTTTTAGAAATCCAGATTTTCTCTCGATTTTTTCGAACTGTCGATTTAGTTTTCGTAATCTCGCTTTTGCTCCCGATTTCTTTTTGAAATTCCGATTTTTTTTTATTGAAATCTCGAATTTTCTTATAGAATTCCAAATTTTCTCCCGATTTTTTTCAGAAAATTAATCCCGATTTACACCATGATTTTCAAAAAAACAATTTTTCCGATTTTTCCCGATTTTCAGAAAACACATTAATGATATCATTCAGAGAACATGTTGAGTACATAGACTTTGATAATAATAAGGTAATATATCAATTATAGGGGGACAGTGGATCACCTCTTGCTTGCCGCTCAGATAATAACTTGTGGTCGCTGGCTGGAGTCACAAGCTTTCACAAAGGTGGTCTTTCGTGTGCTGAAAAAAGTTCTCCCCATGCAATTGCATCGGTGTCCAGAGCAGTCAATTGGATCAAAACCACACTGAACAGATACCAACCTGGTAAATTGGAACTAACTGTGCCGATATCTTAAATTAACAGTTTTTTGGGGGGTGTATGATGAATATATTCGTGAAATATTTAGCTCTGAGATTATAAACAGGGTAGTACTTATGCCTTACTTAGAGAAGTAAATGTAAGTATTTAGCATATTTGTATTTTTTAAGATATGTATCAATTTCTAAAAAGCATGACAGGGCGTCCACTAAATCCGTGCAAAGGTGTTCTATCAGTATTAATTCCTTAAAGCTATTTAGCATATTTTATGATTTTCAGTGAAATAACTGTAATAATTTAAGTACCACCCCTCCATAATACCAGAGTTTTTCATCTTGAAACAAAAAATATATGCCTGCCGTATCACCCTGATGACAAGGTAGGCGGGTCGCCAAGAACATTGAAGAAAAACGGAGAAATTATGGTCACGTTTTTTACTTTATTCAACTCAGACTGTCAGATTGCCGTGACACCGTTTACTAAAGCGAATAACTTTGAGTTTGTTTCAACAACAATACTTTAAACTGAGCAAGGTACAAATCAAATTAATAACTCCTGCAAAAATCAAGGTTTTTGCTCAATGACTAGTCGTTTTAGACACCTTTTGTACATCTTTATTGAACACCCTGTACAAGCAGTATTTTACGCATAATTTTAAATTTGCATTTTGCAATTTTAAAAAGTAGACAATAATCAAATGAGTTCAAGCGACGCATTCACCATAACAGAAATGAAAAATACGACTTGTTCTTACTAGTTCCAACTTCAAGTCCACGTCCTCAAACACCTGTAAGTACATGGTGCTGTGATTTTGAACGCCTTGGATGGGATAATCCACGAGACAACGATGGATGCGGTAATGGGTTTCGGGGAATGACACAATTGAAAACGGATGATTTCGACTTTACGAGAATCAGAGGAGCAACCCCCTCATCAGATACAGGTCCATCTGCTGGATTGAATGGCGGTAATAAAAATTAACCTAAATTATCGCATAAAAAATAGAAGGTCTATTTTCTCGGAAACAAATGATTGAGACCTTGCCATTAATACTCTCAAATTGTATGAAAATGATAACACCGTAGATTATATGATGAACATGATGGGGCAAGATTATTGCAGCAGAACTTTTAAACGGGTTGAGAAGCCACAAGCGTGTACGGGTCACAATTCCCCACCTTTGTTACATAAATGGAACATCTAATGAAAACGGTTTAAATTTGCACTTTTAACCATTCCCTTGACTTGACAGTTAAAATAATTTTGAGAGGTGTAGAACTTAGTACGTGTATGTTCATTTCTGGCGTGTTAACCAATATCATAGCTTCTTATTTCATTTGAAGATAAAGATCTAGTTCGTCAGTTGAATTTAGCGTCACGCATACTAATTCAGGATTTCGATCTGAAATTGCCATTGATTCTCTCTGCATTAATGAAATCTGTTTAAACATCACATCGAAGCGTCGTATTTGGAGAAAATAGCCGGTGGAAATTCGAACAAACGAAGGTGGTAAGCAAGAGACGTACATTGTAATCATGTCTGTTATCTCTACGCTCTGGGGCTTTCCCTCTTGGTCAATTATATGGTATTGTAATGACCTTCGATAACAAGTCGCTACTACAGTCTCAGCTGTAGAGGCTAGCCTTTATGGCTCAGGGGTACGGGGCATTGAATTTAGCACACTCTCTTTCGAGTCTAGTATCTGGCTCGGTACACTACAGCTCCCCGACGGACGTGCCCAAGGGTCGTTACAGTATGATAAAGCATACTATTAAACATGATTTCAGCCATGTCAAAAATCACATAATCTATTACTGATTCTTTTTGATACTGGTACTTCACATCCAGTAGCCAACTTAACCAAGTTATATTTAAGGCCAAGCTCCCGGTACGGTTAAATGAACTGTTTCGTCCTACGTGCTATGTAGTATATCTAAGTGGTACATCTAGTTCATACATTGGGTAGATCGGTAGCAAATATCAAAAATGCATTCCATTATAATATCTTGTGTAATGTCATGGTTTATTTGTATATTCCAAAATAGTAATTTATTTTCAGACATTCATAATTAAGTATTAACTAAGTACTATTTTTCCGTTTGAAAACGGTGAGACGGTGAGAAGGTTTATGTATACAGACTAAAATTCATGATTACAGGTCCAATGTCCCCTGGTTACATTAAGATTTATTTTCTGTGTGTCATAAAATTACAATTTGAAGCACAAACATAATTCCTTCACTATCATGAACTGTACTTTTAGGTTTCTACATATACACAGAAGCGTCCTCTCCACGATCTATTCTCGACACAGCATCCATAAGAACTCCTTTACTAATCGGAAGTGTTGAAAAAACAATGACGTTCCACTATCACACACGTGGAAGTGATCTTGGGGTACTGTCAGTAAATGCATACGCTTACGATACTTTAATTGGACCAGGTCAGTTTGTTGTTTACAGACAAGTCATGGTAATGAAGTAAACATTGTAATTCTATTATATGTTTATCTGCCTAGTATTATTCATGTTCTTAAAGTTCATCTCACATACATTTTTAGATAAAGCTTACTTAAGACTACATTAATAGAACTTCTTCAGTTAATAAGGTAGGAATGCGTTCTAGGTTCATCTCTCTGATACAGAGAAAGAGATATATTTAAATCATATACACCCCAGTTTCTAAGCTGACCTGCCAACTCGGTCGGCCTGAATAATTAACCCGTCCGACCCCGAATTCAAATTTCCCGCCACAATAACCAACGAATTTGTATCTATACATGACAATGTATGACAATGTAAGCTTTATCTTAAAAATGTCTGTGATAGATGAACTTTTGTTTGAATATAAGACGTTTTATTGTAGCTACGAGGATAAACATGACATCGTCATCACTTTGGAAGGTAGCGACAGCCACATTGCCAACAGGGACAACGTCAGTTGAATTTAGTGTCACGCTTACTAATTCAGGATTTGAATCTGATATTGCCATTGATTCTCTCTGCATTAGTGCAATTGGTAGGCTTAGTTACATATGTAATTTTATTATCAAATTATTTAACGATATTTTATCTGGTGCATGCTCAAGATAAATACTTCATTTCGTGTCACCCCATTCGTCCAAACACACCGTGGCATGGATTGAGATAATAGTATATTAAATCATCTATCGCTCACCTGTCAAACAATGGTCCACACGACCTGTAATAAATACATGTAAGTGACGTTGTCATATCAAAAATGCCATTGCTGACTTTACAAAACAAGTCTCCATACATTATACATATATATTATAAACATAATAAAATGGGACGGAGGGTGAGGGGACAGATCGAGAGGGGGTAGCAATATGTCTATAAGGTGGAAAAATATACACAAATCCTTGTATTTGAAACATAAGCTCGGTATTTAAGTAAGCAAATGGATATTACATCTCCGAAAAGTAAAAAATAGGAAATGATGAGGTATGTGGCATAAAGTCATGTATCGTCTCTGTTTTATAGACATCCCCCTCCACCCCCACCCCCCCCCCCCGTCCCATTTAAACTATTTCAATAAAATAGAAGGGGTCTTCCAAGATGGCACACATTTAATTTCTCCTGATGAAATTCCTAATAAATGCTTAAAATAACAGGATTTAGACAAAATATGTGCATAAAATGTAGGAGGATTGTATATTAAACCTGACAGGATATGTTTAAAATATATGACAATAATTTAGGAGGATTATAGGACTATCATTGAGCTGTTTAAAATGGAGTAACATTGTGCTTTAGACAATAAATAACTACCATGTGCATACAATATAGGAGGATTATGTGTTAGATAAGGAACTTACATCTGAGGATTATATTAAAACTATAAAACTACTATATAACTACTTTTATCCTGATCCAGAGACAATCATTTACCATCATGCCACCACCAAAAGTTGAAAAATTTGATAAACTAGAAAAAATCATTGAAGTCCTCACTAAAAAGATAGCAACCCCAGAAGACATTAGACTTATTGTAAGAGAGGAACTTTCATCATCCTTGGAACATCTCAATGACAAAATTGTAGCGCTGGAGGAAGACAATCAACAACTTAGGGAAACCATCAAAAATCAGGATATTAAACTACTCGAAATTGAACGACATGCTAACTACAATGAACAATACTCACGGAAATCAAATATCAAAATTACTGGCGTAAAGGAAGAGGGTGATGAAGTTTGTAGCCAGACAGTACGTAAAATAGCCACTGAAATTGGTATTAAGCTTGGAACAGAGGACATAGATGCATGTCATAGGGTTGGAAGGAAAGTCGACGCAAAAAACGATGCCTCTACAAAACCAAGGTCCATAATTGTGAGGTTTAAGGCACGGGAGCACAAAGAGAAGTTCATCAGCAATCGTAAACGGCTGAAAGGAACGGGTATAGGAATACATGAGGACATCACTAAGAACATGGGACTGATCAATCGCCTAAAAAATGATCCAAATATAACTGATGCATGGATGTTCAACACCAAAGTCTATTGCCGCCTGCAAGGCCGAAAAGGAACTATCCAAGTCGATATTGGTACACCAATAACAGATATTCTATCTAAATAATCTTCAATTACAGCACCATTTTAATATGCCAAAGCAATCATCTAATGACTTTTTCCATTGAACTTACATATTTTGGACTAACATATCCTTATATATATTGTCTGAAAACTTTTGAAAGATAAAAGTTGGGAGTTTCATCAACAGAAATGACATCTTGGACATTGCAAACATATTCATATGTTTGTCTTTTCTATTAGTCAGTTTAGTATTAGTATATAGAAAACATAGTTTAGTTTCTTCACAAATTCAAGAACATAAATCAAAGATACTAGTATGTTTGCCAATTATAATCACTTCATTTGAAGACACCACTTCAAAGCGATATGCTGATAACAATCACCGAATAAGGATCATTTATGAAACATATACAACTGTAGCTATTCTTAATGAGCTCTCACTCTCATTCCATGCTTATTTTACAATGAAACATGAACTAAAGGTCACCAGGTCAATTCAACTGATAGCTCTAGATACAGCTTTCATTCATCCTTATATATATGAATATTTGATGAGATTAGAAGGGGTCTCCTTACTAATCCGACTTCCATACAACAACATTTAAACCTGATTAACCATGGATGACTTGCATCTGTGTGAGCTACCCTTTTATAACGTTACTCCAGTGATGTTCTTTGATGCCATTCCATCAGCTAATAATTACATTGACTTTGAAAGCTTAATATTTAATCCAAAAGACCTTGACAGAGGTGTTGCTAATGACCCCTCCAATCATAATGTTATTGAAGATAATGATTTTTCAACAACTTTAATTGAAAAATGTAAATATTATACTCTTGAGCAAATGAACAGCCAACCAATGGACAGTGGAAATAACTTGTCTATGATACATGTAAATATGAGAAGTGTCATGAAAAATCAATGCAAATTTGATAACTTGCACAATTTATTAAAGCATGACTTTCCTATTATAGCCATGTCTGAAACCTGGTTAAACAATAGTAACCAAGATAATTATAACTTAGAAGGATATAGCACTATGTGCAAATCTAGAGATGGTAGGATAGGCAGTTTGTATACATATTCTTGACAATATTAATTTCACCAAAAGACCAGATTTAACATGGATAATTGCGACTCATGCACTATTGAGATGTCTTTAAAGTCTGGGCAAAATACAGGGTGTCCGGAAAGTAAAGATACAAATGCTCTTATTTCAATAGATTTACCTGTTGTGAGATGAAATTGCTACAGATTGTAGAATGTCATTGTAACAATTTATCCTGCAAATATCATGACAAATTGTTACAAAATAAAAAAGTTATGGTTGTTATGGTAACAGGAGTCGCGGGTATGTGGAGCAGCGTCACAATTATGTTTTATAAATCTTTTCTCCAGTTCATATCATCTTGACACTTTGTCATCTGTTGCTATTACATATCAAATTATGTACCACAACAGCAAAAGGATTAGTACTCTAACATTATTTAGTCATTTGGCATTTCTGTTATCCGGTATTATGTATTTCTCACCATTATCTTAACATTCTTGGTGCATTTTGACTGGAGATTCCAAGACCTGACAAAACCGCCGCTGCCCATCTCTAAGATTGCTGCTAACATTGGCTTCCAGCCGAATCTCATTTTCATGTTGAACAAATATTGCTTTAAGATATTCATTAATGTAGAAGTCCAACGGGACATTATCAGGCAAATATTGACCATTGTACAAAAAGGTTTAATGTCAAGACATTCAATTGTGAGATTTGTTTTCTTTGCTTTGTGAATTGGTGCATTGACTGTGGAGGTGCACTATTGACTTTTCTATTAATCTAGGGACCCTTTTTCTAAGCACTTGTATACTTTTTCTTTGATTATTTTGGTGACATTATATAGTTCTGATATGTATCAATGATTCATTAAACTAAAGAGAATACTATGGCAGCAAGAATACAATATTGAACAAAATAAAACATTGATAGGAAATACCAAAATAGACACTGTTTCAAATGGTTATATTTTAGCAATTTATCGCAATTTAGTGATATCCTGGAACTGCTCCGCATACCCCTCACCACCGTAACCATGACAACCGTAACTTTAACACGTTAAGACTGTATGTTATAAAAGTTGGCAGATGTATTTTAATAAAGTTCCTCTACAATCTGTAGCAATTTCATTACACAAAATCTAAATCTCTTAAAATTAGAGTATTTGTATCTTTACTTTCCGGACACCCTATATACTAATATCTGTCCTTTATAAGCCCCCGAATGTTAACCTCAGAGATTTTAACAGCAACATATAAAAAAGATTAAATGGTGAAGGGAAAGTCACGTACATCTTAGGAGACTTTAACATAGACATATTAAAGGCAAATGAGCATTATATGACCGAGGATTTCTACAATTCTTTGTTAACAAATGGTTTTCATCCTTCAATCTACAAGCCAACACGAATAGGATCAAGATCAGCTACCCTTATTGATAATATTTTTACAAATGCTGTAGATATAAGTTATTCTGGCATTGTGCTAACTGATATATCTGATCATTTCCCTATTTTCCTAACCACTAAAAAAACAACTAAAACAGTCAATTTACAAGACTATTAATTATAGGATAATTAATAAAACAGCTAAGGAGAAATTCAACTACCAGCTTTCAAACACAGACTGGAATGATGTCAAACAGTCAGATAATTGCAATCAAGCATATTCAGTTTTTATTGACAAATTTATGAGTGTTTATAATGAATGCTTTCCTTCAAAATCAAAAACAATAAAGATTTACCTTAATACAAGGAAACCTTGGTTGACTGAAGCTATTCTCACATCAGTTAAAGAGAAGAACAAACTATATAAAGAATATTTAAAAAATCCCAATCCTATTAATAGTACTAATTATAAGACATTTAAAAATATTCTTACAACTCTAATACGGAATGCAGAAAAAACATATTTTAAACAAAAAATTAATGAATGCAAAGGGGATATTAAGAAAACCTGGTCAATATTAAACAAGATTTTAAAAAGAAAACTTAATAAATCACAGGATGTTTCATTCTTTCAAGTTGATGGTAATAAAATTACGGACAATCAAGGTATAGCCGAAAGATTTAATGACTTTTTGCAAACGTTGGGAGAAATCTAGCAATTAAAATTAAACCTAATAAATCTTTTAGGGCTTTTATGTCAAACAATGACAGTGCTAACTCCTCAATTTTCTTAAGACCAATCTCAGAGGAAGAAATAGTAAACATAATATCTGAACTTAAGAATGGTTCACCTGGACTTGATCAAATCAAACCAATTATATTGAAAGAAAATAAGCTTGCTCTAGGAAATATTCTGACTTACTTATGTAATATATCACTTAAAACTGGAGTTTTCCCAGACACCTTAAAAACTGCCAAAGTGAAAAAAGTCACACTATTTTTGGATAAATTCAAATTATTAAGTAAAGATCAATTTGGTTTCAGAAAAAACTTATCAACCTATATGGCAATTCTCACCTTTTTAGAATCACTTCGAGATTCTCTTAATAATAATAAATTCTGTATCGGTCTTTTTCTTGACTTATCGAAAGCTTTTGATACGGTTGATCACGCTATTTTGCTGGAAAAGCTTCATTATTATGGAATTCGTGGTGTTGCAAACTCTTACTTAACAGATAGAAAACAAATTACACAATATAAAGACCATATGTCAACCCCAACAACTATTTCATGTGGAGTACCCCAAGGGTCTATCCTAGGACCCCTACTTTTTATTATTTATACAAATGACCTCAGTTTTACTTCTGCTATATTGAAGTTTGTACTTTTTGCAGATGGCACCAGTATTTTACATTCACATGAGTCGAAAGAAGAACTCATATCTGTTGCAAATAATGAACTTAGAAAAGTTAATGACTGGTTCATGGCTGGCATGACTGGTTCAAGTTATCGCTTAATATTGAAAAGACTAATTTTTTATTCTTTTCACCTAAAAGAAGAACGTATAACCCTGAAGAGATCAAGATAAAAATTGATGACAAAAATATTACAAGGAAGGATAACATTAATTTTCTTAGTGTCCTAATCGATGACAAACTAAATTGGAAACTTCACACTCAAAAACTAAAAGGGAAGATAGCTTAAATTATACACATATTATATACTTCTAAGCACTTACTTGACAACTTTTCGAAAATGAAAATTTATAATGCTCTTATTCATTCGGGGCTTGATTACTGTAAAATAATTTGGGGTAATGCTGATAAAAACACCTCGAGCCTCTGCATATACTCCAGAAGAAATTTGCCAGGTTAATAACAAATTCTAGCAAGTTAGCTCATGCCGCCTCTTTATTGAAAGATCTTAGTATCTTAAATATTTATGACATATATAACTTCAATGTTGCCAACTGTGCATACCAAAATATGTATAAACCTGACAAGTTCCCACATCACCTTTTTAAACAATTCTATTCTACAAATGCTGATACACATGACCACGAAACTAGAAATAAAGACCGTATACGTTCATATATGTTTAAAAACAAATTTGGTGAAAAGTCAATAAAAGTAGAACTATCAAGAGTATGGAATGTAGTAAATGAAAACATCATTATGTCTTCTACTTTGTCTTTGTTTAAATCGTCTTTGAAATCACTTCCTCCTCTCCACCTACATCTAATACCAAATATCATGTCATGGTTCATTTTGTTCATGTTTCATTGCTAATCTAGTGATCCTTATCATCAAAGAAATTACATTTTATCTTGCTATATATATACTACAATGTAATATGTAATGTGGTGTAAACTGCACAGTATACGCCCAGCGTCTTGTGCAAACCTTGTTATTTAATTTGTAATAATTATAATATGAAAATAAATATAACATAACATAACATTTTCGATTATTTTTATATAACGTATGGAAACTTATTTTTTAAAGTCAGCATTGACATTACTTTTGATATGGTAACGTCAATTTCAAGTACATCTCAAAATTGATTATAAAAATAGTTTTTTAAATAGGACAGGCAATGCAGGTACAGTATGGCAAGTGATTTTGGACAGTCATATTTTTCACCATGAGTACGTTCTGGCCATAAATGCAGTGGTTTTTATTAAAACAATATGTTTTCTTTCAAGTGATAATAAAAAATATCAATCCAACTCTCTCAAAATTATGAATTATGACCCAACCTTGACACTTTTTTGAAAATGCTAGACTTGTTTCCTAAAAGAGGATCTTGATTTTGTCAATTTAAATATATCAAAGGTTTCTTTTGCACCATAATAACAACTTCCGAAAAGGTGGTGGGTATTGAAATAAGATAAAGTTGAAAACCACATATTCTACGTTATTTTCCACGTTATTAAGGAAAACTCATGCTATCCACTGTGTTCAGTAAATGGACCTCGAAAATTGATACCTTCAAAACAAGACTTTCTTCAATACCATTCTAGTTTTGAAGAAGTTTTGGACCAATAAGAATAAAAAAGATCCTCCTTCGAGTAAATAGGTTCAACATTTCGGATCGGAATAATGTAGGCAGTTGTCCCTATTCATAATTTTTTGAATTGTTTTATAATAGTTTTTATTATCATTGAGTATTTGATATATTGTGTTCTAATGAGTAATGTTATTTATAAATTGAGAAAGAACTCATGTTTAAAGATATGAAAATCACTCGCCATAATATACTTGGTCCTTTTACAGCTTGTTCTAAAACATTATTTTAGCAACTATAATTGTACAATAACTCATTGAATAATATATAAATGTTATTTATGCATTTAGTCAGTGAAACAACAACTGCAGAAGTCAGAGAATCAAGAGTTACAGAAGTCAGAGAAACAACAGCTGCAGAAGTCAGTGAAAGAATAACAACACCTATTCCAATGCCGATCACAACAATTCCTGCATCAGTGTTATCAGACAATGAAAATAGTATGACATTTTCCGCAAATAACAACATATTGCCCAGACATACCTCTGATGAGTTAATGTAAATACTAGTAACCGTTGGCTTGACTTATTTTTCGTATCAATATATCAACATTTTGATAAACCTAAACCTGCATCCAACTTATAAGGTCGTTATCCCCTATCAACTTTTTTGATTGACTTGCAATTTTATAAAAGGATACGATATATTCATAGTAAGATTCCTGGTTCACATTGTAATTATTTAGGGCAAGACCGTAATGTACAATGTATGCGTATTTTTATTTAATTTGAAGAGCCCATGAAATGATTTTTAAATGTAATTCATGAGGGTAAAGTTGTGTGGAATAATGAATCACGCACTATATTTTCAGCAAGAGGTCTAAAGGGAGAATGGGTTGGATGGTTTGTCTGCGGTTTATCAAACTACAGTCTCATCTTGAACATCTCCAAACAAGGACTTATATCTGGAACTGTTGAATTCAATGGACCAGGGAACGCTGGAGCTCATTACATTCGTGGAGTTGGAATAAGTTTTTTCATGTTTACCCCCGAGGATTGGCTCCCTGGTAGGGTTGGTTCGTCCAAAATCAGTGGCCACGGATCTCTATCTGATGATAAAAATACAATCAGTGGACTAATTGATTCATTCTGTACAGACCCTCTCAGAACATTTAAGGCAATGCGAAACCTAGGTATGATATTATTTTTGATCACATGTATTTATATTAAAAAACGATATACGTTTTTCCAAATCGTCCAATTTTAGGGGCCTAGGGAGGTGAAAAATTGGGTTAAAACTGTTTAACCCCTAATGGAACACCGTTTCACCATATGAGAATTAATTTTTAAAAAGTGTTATTTTGGACCCCCCTAATTCTCAAACTCTTGAAAGTCATAAGAATGACTATACAGTACAGGTACGTTATACATATAGGCCAGGGATCAAGAAAATGCATTTTGGTTCAAAATGAAAGCACTAATGGATCAGCTATTTTGGGGCCTGAACCCGTCCTAATAAATAGGTGAGACTTCTTTCTTGAGACATATTGCTTGAAATGTCTGATTTCTCCCCCTTTCGTGCTCAAAAGTATCTCAGTTTAATTGATAAAAAATATAATATTGTACCCCCTCCGCATTTCTTTCTAAAGGCATTTTTGTCTCAAATTAATGTCCTTACCACCAAGGGAGTTATATACTAGGGAAGCACTTGGAAGATAAAAACCCCAAAAAACTTTTTCCAGGCCCCCAAGGTGTAACGATAAAATAGAGGGGCTAGAGACAGCAATATATACATTACCATAATATAATATAAAATGATGTAATATAATATAAAATGATATAATATAATTCCAATCATATAGAGCCAAAAAAGGTTACCCAAACAAATCTTAATAACACTCAGTCATCCAGTATATAGGTTTTAACTTTTAAGTCATAGTTGGCACAATTGAGCATTTCCTTTCAACTAAGTTTCATTAGTTTACATCAAATAGTAATTTTACAAAACATGCTCAAAAACATACCAACATCAACCAATATGAATCCCTGGAATTTTATAGTTGGGGCTATTTCACAGATAATGTGTATATTGACAACCCAAGAAGCATCAGAGTTGAAACAAGAGATTTGAAGGGGAATGAGTCTTTGTATAAGGTATCTGTAAGCGTGTCGTTAGAAAACTTCACCCGAAGCATTCAGTTTTGCCTCCAAAGACAAGGCCGGCATTTTGAGCATGTTTTGTAAATTATAAAATCGTTAACATTGGGATGAAACTTTCGCGTATTTAAGAACATTGTTCAAGATTCAATTGTGCCACATATGACTTCAGATCCATACTGGATGACTGAGTAATTAAGTTTTGTGTGGGTTACTTTTTTGGCTGACCCTATGAAGTATAATACTATCCCAATACGGTAAAGGAAGTAATGCGCTCTTCATTATGATCTCCCCATGAAGCAAAATTAATTCATCTGATTTTACAAAATTAGTACACTGCTTTTATTATTACATTTATATACACACAAGTATCTTGTTGACCTATATTCAGCACTGTATTGATGTACAGGCCACTTATCAGGGGAAAAATTCAAGCATGAAGTGTAGAGGCATAGATTCCAAACCAGGAAGTATTTTTATGTCTATCAAAATCCATTTGCATTCTACGTATCCCTGCATCTTATCCAAATATGTTTCAAAATAATGAAATACAAGGCATTAACATGACAAAATGTCACCACCTAGCTGCTCACAATATTATGAGTTCAAACTTAGGTCAGATTTGAATTTCTGAGAACTTGTAAAGTCAAATTTGAACTTTTGAAAAGATGTAGATGATTTTGAAAAAAAAATTTGGTCAATTTGAAGCAAGTTGAAAACAGACCTTTTTGACCTTTTTTGACCTTGAGAAGGTCATTAAAGGTCAAATGTCAAATCTAAAGTCAGATTTGAATTTCTGAGAACATGTAGATGATTTTGAAAAAAAATTAGTCAATTTGAAGCAAGTTGAAAAAAGACCTTTTTGACCTTTTTTGACCTTGAGAAGGTCATTGAAGGTCAAATGTCAAATCTCAAGTCAAATCTAAAGTCATATTTGAATTTCTGAGAACATGTAGATGATTTTGAAAAAAAAATTAGTCAATTTGAAGCAAGATGAAAAAATACCTTTTTGACTTTTTTGACATTGAGAAGGTCATTGAAGGTCAAATGTCAAATCTAAAGTCAGATTTGAATTTCTGAGAACATGTAGATGATTTTGAAAAAAAAAATTTGTCAATTTGAAGCAAGTTGAAAAAAGACCTTTTTGACCTTTTTTGACTTTGAGAAGGTCATTGATGGTCAAATGTCAAATCTTAAGTCAGATTTGAATTTCTGAGAACACGTAGATGATTTTGAAAATTTTTTTTAGTCAATTTGAAGCAAGTTGAAAACAGACCTTTTTGACCTTTTTTGACCTTGAGAAGGTCATTAAAGGTCAAATGTCAAATCTAAAGTCAGATTTGAATTTCTGAGAACATGTAGATGATTTTGAAAAAAAAAATTAGTCAATTTGAAGCAAGTTGAAAAAAGACCTTTTTGACCTTTTTTGACCTTGAGAAGGTCATTGAAGGTCAAATGTCAAATCTAAAGTCATATTTGAATTTCTGAGAACATGTAGATGATTTTGAAAAAAAAAATTAGTCAATTTGAAGCAAGTTGAAAAAAGACCTTTTTGACCTTTTTTGACTTTGAGAAGGTCATTGAAGGTCAAATGTCAAATCTTAAGTCAAATCTAAAGTCAGATTTGAATTTCTGAGAACACGTAGATGATTTTGAAATTTTTTTTTAGTCAATTTGAAGCAAGTTGAAAACAGACCTTTTTGACCTTTTTTGACCTTGAGAAGGTCAAATGTCAAATCTTAAGTCAAATCTTAAGTCAGATTTGAATTTCTGAGAACACGTAGATGATTTTGAAAAAAAGATTTAGTCAATTTGAAGCAAGATGAAAAAAATACCTTTTTGACCTTTTTGGACATTGAGAAGGTCATTGAAGGTCAAATGTCAAATCTAAAGTCAGATTTGAATTTCTGAGAACATGTAGATGATTTTGAAAAAAAAAATTAGTCAATTTGAAGCAAGTTGAAAAAAGACCTTTTTGACCTTTTTTGACTTTGAGAAGGTCATTGAAGGTCAAATGTCAAATCTTAAGTCAAATCTAAAGTCAGATTTGAATTTCTGAGAACACGTAGATGATTTTGAAATTTTTTTTTAGTCAATTTGAAGCAAGTTGAAAACAGACCTTTTTGACCTTTTTTGACCTTGAGAAGGTCAAATGTCAAATCTTAAGTCAAATCTTAAGTCAGATTTGAATTTCTGAGAACACGTAGATGATTTTGAAAAAAAAATTTAGTCAATTTGAAGCAAGTTGAAAACAGACCTTTTTGACCTTTCTTGACCTTGAGAAGGTCATTGAAGGTCAAATGTCAAATCTAAAGTCAGATTTGAATTTCTGAGAACATGTAGATGATTTTGAAAAAAAAATTTAGTCAATTTGAAGCAAGTTGAAAAAAGACCTTTTTGACCTTTTTTGACTTTGAGAAGGTCATTGAAGGTCAAATGTCAAATCTTAAGTCAAATCTAAAGTCAGATTTGAATTTCTGAGAACACGTAGATGATTTTGAAAAAATTTTTTAGTCAATTTGAAGCAAGTTGAAAACAGACCTTTTGACCTTTTTTGACCTTGAGAAGGTCATTGAAGGTCAAATGTCAAATCTTAAGTCAAATCTTAAGTCAGATTTGAATTTCTGAGAACACGTAGATGATTTTGAAAAAAAAATTTAGTCAATTTGAAGCAAGTTGAAAACAGACCTTTTTTACCTTTTTTGACCTTGAGAAGGTCATTGAAGGTCAAATGTCAAATCTAAAGTCAGATTTGAAGGTCAAATGTCAAATCTAAAGTCAGATTTGAATTTCTGAGAACATGTAGATGATTTTGAAAAAAAATTTAGTCAATGTGAAGCAAGTTGAAAAAAGACCTTTTTGACCTTGAGAAGGTCATTGAAGGTCAAATGTCAAATCTAAAGTCAGATTTGGACTTCTTAGAACATGTAGATGATTTAGAAAAAAATTGAAGTCAGTCTAAACAGTATTTGTTAAGTTATAGGAAGTTGTAAGAAATTGTTACAGACGCCGGACGCCAACCGCCAACCGCCGGACGCCAACCACCAACCGCCGGACGCCGTCGCAAAAAAACGGAGACCATAACAATATGTCACCACTTTTGGTGGTGACATAATAATAGTATAATCTATGGTTTTACAAACCTGTATGATATTTGATAAGTGTAAAAGTTGTTTTTGGAGCATTTTTCTAGAGCCTTTTTGTAGGGAAAAAATTGATGAAAAAATGTACAATCTTTTTATTTAAAGTATGACCTGAATTGATTGCAAACTTCATATTTGCACATTTGATGAGATAAATCATTTGTGTCATATTGTGAAATTATTAAGTTTGCAATCGATTCAGGTCATAGTGTATTTTTGGTATTTTGTGATAATCAATGGAAACCAATCTATTGGGATCTGCTGATATCCTCATGTTAAGTCAATGATGCACTGCCCCATGTAAGTCAATACAACCTTACTGAACTAAATGGCCCTATCTCAGCCTATGTGTGCCCGAGCACTTTAATATTTTCCAAAGAGTTATATGACATTCTATTCTTCATGTGACACCTTAGAATTATTCATTTTGACCATGGGGGTATTTGCCAATAATCGCACCTCTTCCTTTCTTAAATGCAGATACGGATATAACACCAACCACTCAAACTCCCGAAAACTATGAAACCACATCGAGGCCAAATACAACAGACCATTATCAGTACGGCACATCAAACTTGCAGACAGCTAGAATATCATCGACAAGTCAAAGATACACAGCACACGAAACAACAGTAGATAGTACCTTGCCATCTCGGTCGACTGCAAGACCAAGTACAACAGGGTATCGATTCACAACAACAACAACAACATCAATAACAACAACAACAACAAGAACGCCAACAACAACAACCCCATATATGTCACGTACTCATTACGTCACAACAGATGCAACATCAACAACTGCAGCTTTGGGATCAAATGTTATATTCCAGTGTACATTTGAGCAATCTATTTGTAATGGTTCACACGATGATTCTGCTGACTTTAAATGGACTAGGAATTTCGGCCGAACACCTAGTCGTTTCACTGGTCCAAATGGCGATCATTCATACAATGGTCTAGGTCAGTAATTTCCTAATTTTAAACAAACATACAAATTGAAGGTTAGTCAGATACATACAAACTATTTTCAAAAATTAAATTCACATGTACACAACTTAAAAATTGGTATTTTGAATAAATCAGTATGTCAACAAATCAATGGCCGGACGTTCAAATACATTGTTGTTTATGCCACCACCGATTCATTGAATCCTAGGCTACTATCATTATGAAGATAAATGTTTTATTTAAGGACATTACCTTTACATTGAAACGTCAAGACCGAGAAAGATGGGAGATATTGCCAGAATAAAGTTCGACATGGAAGAACATTACTCAAGCAGAATATTGTGGTTTTGGTACAATATGTTTGGCTCGGCTATTGATGAACTCAATGTAAGATTGGATAATACAACCATATGGCAAATAGCAGGTAAATTTCTATTATTCCTTAATCTTACTATACAAAAAGTCATTTAAACATTTACAGTGCAATTTACGAATTCCCAGAAAAACAATATCACTTTACATTATTCGTTTCACTCTTTTAGTCTTTTGTCGATCTTCTGAGCGCTTTGAACAGCTCTTCTGGAGGCCCTATTTATAAACTCCCATTGAATAAAAGGATATGTATAGATATATCAACATGTCACATAAGATCTATCAATATTATAGGGCAGCAAGCAGCTAGTCGTTATGGTTCACTATGGAAACGCTCAGAATACATTAGTATTCCAACAGGACGGCACGAGCTGGTGTTTGAAGGAAAACGAGGGGCAAGTTATAGAGGTGATATTGCAATTGACGATATTCAAGTAATAGGCCTTGACAATACTACAAGCATAACAACTGCTTTTCCTACAACTACTTTTCATACAACTGCTCTTCCAACATCCAGAGGTGGTGATAGTACTTCGAACATAACGACCACTCTTCCTACAACCGCATCTAACTCTATCCCTCCAACAAGTGATATGGGATTTAGATGCACATTTGATGAGGGAATGTGTGGTATAACACATGATGAGAATGCAGACTTTCAGTGGACAAGGCACAATGGATCGACTCCTACTGCATACACAGGGCCATCCTCGGACTACAATGGAAACAGAGGTCTGTGTGTGTGTGTCACAGTGTAGGACCTTTTGATCGAATTAATCACAGCATTTACAGCTCGGGCTGCTGTAAAGCCATAATGATTGATAAGATCATCGACCTTATATTTGACACATTTCGGGTGTCCCCCAAAAAATAAATCGCTGTTTGACAACTGTTTTTCAGCAAGTGATCGCTCAAATTCGTTGCAAATTTTTATCGAGTGGCCTAAGGGTATCATTGGTGACAGGATTCACTCATATATTATGTGGGAAATGACAAATTCAAAAATACATGCCAAAAGTTCCATTCAATGGAGAGCCACTTATTTCAGTCTGAAAAAAGCTGTTTTTTCGAGCCGAAATTGTGTATTTTTCTTTAAATATCGCCTTCGATGACATAATTATCCCATCCTTTAATGTATTTTGGATGTTTTGCATTTTTGTTCATACGTTTATTGACAATAACAGGACTCTTACTCTTGCCCTTTCCTTTATGATTGATATTCCACTCAAAACCTTCACCCTAAAATAGTTTTCAATAGTAGCCTTTTCGCTTATTTCTTAAAGGCATTGTTTATCCCTAAAAACAGAACTTTTTGGACAGAACGTATTTTAAAAACAGAGAACAATGTAACAAATCAATAAACCTGACGCACAGACAAGCTGTTTTTGAGACTGAGACAGACTGATTCAATCACCTAATAGCAGGCACAAATGCTATGAAGTCTTATTGCCCAGCTCTGATATTGGATTTCTTGATAGTACTATGCATTTGGCTATGCCTACTGTATAGAAATTTTCAATCAATTTAAATATTCAATTGCTTAGAAAACACTTGTCAACAAGCGATTATTTTTGGGACACCCGATACACACACCATATATTTTCAGGATATTATATGTACATAGAAACATCACGTCCTCGGTTAGCTGGAGATGTTGCTCGGATGATAATTCCAAATGTAACATCACCGTCGGGCATATCCCAGTTGTCATTCGCCTTGAGCATGAACGGCAGTGATATCGGAAAACTCGTGATAAAAAAGACGGATGGAACACGTTTGGCGCAGTACATTAGCCGATACAGAAGTAAGCATTACTCAAATGGCCCTTTCAAATCTAAATTCATCCTATTAGTATCCGACCTTGGACAGAAACAGGGTAGACTGATTGTGGATTTTTTTCCAGTGTTCAATTAGCTGGGGATATAACCGTATTAATTTGTGCACAAAATTCTGTTCTTTTATTTCACCACCAAAAAGTGGTGACATATTGTTATGGTCTACGTTTTTTGTGACAGTGGTTGCCGTTGGTGATCGGCGGGTGGCGGTTGGTGATTCGTGGTTGGCATCTATAACAGATTCTTGTTGTATACAACTTTCGATAACTTAACAAATACTGTTTGGACTGACTTCAGTTTTTCTCAAAATCATCAACAAGTTGTCAGAAGCTCAATCTGACATTATATTTAAGATTTGACCTTCAATGACCTCCCAAAGGTAAAAAAAGGTAAAAAGATCTTTTTTCAACTTATTTCAAATTGACCCATTCTTTTTTCAAAATCACGAGTTCTCAGAAGTTCAAATCTGACTTTAGATTTGAGATTTCACCTTCAATGACTTTCTCACGGTCAAAACAGGCCAAAGGATCTTTTTCAATTCGCTTCAAATTGACAACACTTTTTTTCAAAATTGACCCTCAATGACCTTCTCAACGTAAAAAATGATTTGACCTTCAATGACCTTCTCAGGGTCAAATAAGTCTTTTTCAACTTGCTTCAAATTAACCAATTTTTTTTCAAAATCATCTACAAGTTATCAAACGTTCAAATCTGACTTTAGATTGGAGATTTCTCCTGCAACGACCTTCTCATGCATGGTCAAAAAAGTTCCCTTTTCAACTTGCTTCAAGTTGACTTACTTTTTTAGAATCATCTACAAGTTCTCATAATTTCAATTCTGACTTAAAAGTGTACTCCTAACATTGTGAGCAACTAGGTGGTGACATTTTGTCATGTTAATGCCTTGTTGTGTCCCCACCACATAGTGTTGGGCCATATTGTCGGCCTAGGCGCGTCCGTCCGTCCGTACGTCCGGCAATTTTCTCCAAAACCGCTACAGATATCACCTTCAAATTTTCAGGGAAAACTTATGAGTGCGTACAGATGTGGATGAAAAAAAATTAACTTGGTGATACCTACTTCCTGTCGGCCATTTTGAAGTCAAATGCTAAAATCCTTGTCTGCAAAATTTAAGAAAAACAGCTTCACAGTTGCTTTTAAAACTTTAAAATCTTGTTCAGCTCACTTCATTCTACATCTGAATAGGTTTTGGGCCTGTTAGCTCAGTCATGCCAGCCATTTGAATGTCTTAAGAAAAGTTAGCGCGCGATAATACTTTGTATCATATTGAATGGTGTTTTTGAGTTTTCATACTTTAACTATTTAGTAGCTTTATAAATAATTCCAGGTGTACTTTGTTGTAAAAGCCTATGTTATTGTTAACAGTAGTTATATGTGATAATTTTGTAAAAATAAATCAGCAAAAATTCATAATCACTTTTTATTGTCGGCCATTTTGGATTTTTCCGTCCTAAAATCTTGTCTGCAAAGTCTTGTCTACGCGTTTTCAGGTGAACCGTTTGGTAGATCAATTTCAAATTTTCAGGGATGATTCTTAGTATGAAAATGTAGATCTGATTAGGTTTTTTTTGCGTTCTGGGTAAATGTCAAGGCAGCCATTTTGGATTTTACGTCCTAAAATGTTGTCTGTAAAATTGTCTATGCGTTTTCAGGTGAACCGTTTGGTAGATCAATTTCAAATTTTCAGGGATGATTCTTAGGATGAAAATCTAGAACTGATTTAAGTTTTTTTTACATTCTGGGTAAATGTCAAGGCAGCCATTTTGGATTTTCTATCCTAAAATCTTGTCTGTAAAGTCTTGTTTACTTGTTTTCTGGTTAACTGTCTGACGGATCAATTTCAGGGGTGGTTCTTAGTATGAAATTCTAGGACTGACTAACTTTTTGGCATTCTGGGTAAATTTTAAGGAGGCCATTTTGGATTTTCCGTCCTCAAATTGTGTCTGTAAAGTCTTGTCTACTCATTTTCAGGCAAACCATTTGACGGGATCACCCATTGGTGGGGACATTTTGTACACATTTGTGTTCTTGTATCCATATGCAATGTTAGTTGAAAACTTAACCCAGTTCTAAGTTGCTGATTGTTCTTTTTTTGTCACCATCGAAAAGTGGTGAGATATTGTAGTGGTCTCCATTTTTTCTGACGGCGATTGGTGGTTGGCGGTTGATCAGAAATTCAAATCTGACGTAAGATTGAACTCACAATATTGTGAGCAACTAAGTGGTGACATTTTATCATGCTAATGCCTAGTCTATATATGCTTTTAATTCCTTGTGATGTTCATCCTTAACATTATGTGCATAATTCAGGGTGACCCAAAAACAGACCCCTCCAAAAATGAAATAACTTCTTTAAACACATGTATTACATACCTAGCGAAGTATTTGCATGGAAGTCAATGGAGCCGAAGGGCGGCTATATTCCTGTATTCGTTCTTGCCCAAATATAGAGCCTCCCAAGGTCGGCCTATATTGGGAGAACTCAGGCATATTTCACGTCACAGCAGGAGATCCAAAGGGCAAATTGTGCTTCGGTTAGCGACATTTCTATCTCCGCCGTGGCGTGATATAGTCCCGATTTCTCGGTACACGAGTTCGTAGAAAAATACGACACCTCAAGTCAAGAGGCCATAACTCAACCCATAAATTATCAATTTTGATTCTGTTTGAATTTTTAGGATGCCATATATGAGAGTTGTGATATGTAAAGCCATCGTTATGTTTCATAAGGGATAAAATAGTGTATTTGGTGTAGGCCCGACTTGAATATTTTTGGAAGATTTTTCCAAAAAAAAAATTTTTCCGCTAAAAAGTTGGCAGAAATTTGTCTTCAGGGTTTTCAGCACTAACCCTCAGGTATTCTCGATTATTTTGGATATCTCTGATCTTTTTGTCAGCTTAACTTTTTTAACCTACCTGTAGTTCATGGAGAAAATGATATCGAAAGTGCACTCTCATTTTCACCCTAAATCGTATTTTTGGCGAGTCATGACCTCATGACGTAAATTCCGGTTTTGAACTTTTTAGGTGGAAGTTTTCAAATTTCTGTCGAATATGCCCGAATATGACGACAGTAACAATAAATTGGACCCTAAGGTATTGCTGTCTGGTGTATAAAGTATAAGGGAACAAACAGATAACATTGAAGTAAGTATATAACAGGTGCTATCGATGAAAGTGAAGGAACAAGTCGTAAAAGTTCACTAAAATTATTCCAAGATCGAAGATGGCTTCCAATTTTCTAAGTTGAATTTTGAATGACCAGTTTTGCCATTCCAATCTGAATTATTGTGCTTTTAGGGTATAACTAGATGGTCGATATTACACTGGGATATTACCCTTATTCTTGATCAACTTAAGACTTTTATGAATCCCGATCTAGACCAAGGGCCAAGCAGAGACATGAAAAACTGTTTTTCATGTCCCTGGGCCAAGGCATTATTACGGTCTACAACTTGTGGACTGCGATAACTAAGGCTCACCAAGTTTTCTTTCTTTGACTTCATCAGGATGATTAAGCCTAGTTGAACTAAGATTGCTGTCATGTCTGCATTTCACAGTTCAAAATCAACTTGTGTAGTAATTTGACACCGACTTCTAATTTGCCTTATTGACTTATCATTTCTCAAACATATTTCCAAAAATCAGGAAATAAGGGTGACGAGCGGGGAAATTTTATTGGGAATTTCATTGTGAAAAACTACCGAGTGACAATTTAAACCACAGATCCGGAGCCTTCAAGTGTAGGGTGACATGACATTTCTTTCTCTGTATTGTCTTTATTATTTTGATCAACTGAAATTGTTATTGTTTATTGGGCATATTTTTCTCATTTTGATGCAAGAAAAGCTCCTGGTAATACTGCTAATACTTATATCTGGCCAGCTTTAGAGAGAGCCAGTTTAATTTAGCTACACTTAATCTTTCAATATAATTTCAATGGTTGGTGTGAAACTTTTTCATGTAGTGACATTTATAAAAGCAAGTTGATCTGTGGAATTCATTTTCATATTTTGATCTAGCATCATTGATAAAATATATCCAGATCTTCTTAAGCCTTTACTAGCAGCTTTCTCATAATTTTAACAGTTGGTGTGAAACTTTTTCATGTTATGAACTGAGTTGAACTCTGGCCAAAAAGCCTTGCTTTTGATGATCTGTGGAATTCATTTTCAAATTTTCATATTTTGATCAAGCATCGCTGTAGAAAAATCTCTCAAGCCTTTACTATCAAAAGGTCCAAAATTAGCAGACATAAGCAAAAATATTGGAAATGTTTCTCAAATATTCAAATATCCAACCATTTTTCAATAAAAGGTGAAATTTTTTAATCATCAAATAGTCCACTTCACCGTTTACAGTGCAAAACACTTTATCTTTGCACCATTGCATTTAATGCATTGTCTTATTAATGTTAGGTATAGGCAATATTTATAGCCTTTTCAGTCAATTTCACTTTTGAGAAGGGTATTTTTTATATTCTATGGGGAAAATGAACTGAAAATGTCATTAGCCAGAGAGCACAACTGCATTGGCCAAATAGGATGGTAAGTTAGCATTTGAATGAATCTAAATTTCAATATTAGATGCTTTTTTACAGATGCAAAAGGACTATTTCCATGCATAACATATCCAAGAACTGACTGTATACTAAATGCTCTTCACACTTTGATTTTCAGGCAGGCAAAGAGTGGGTACTAAAGCTCTGGGTGTTATATGAACATGAAGTGAAAGAACCCATGCAGATTGCTTGAGTAGAAATGATCTATAGTTACTCAGTTCCTCAAGAAACTCAAAGATGCAGGTTTGTTTCCTTGTTCATTTAAATTAGTTGAAGTCATGATAATATTAGCTCACGTGGGTTCAAATGATCAAAAACCTGAATGTTTGATATTGCTAAAAGCATTTTTGTTACTAAAATTAGGCTGTTGGCAGTCAGAGACTTCAA